ATTCGTCGCTTCAGCTGCCTACTTTTACCTAATTCCCAGTCCAGTTCTGTTCGTTTGTGAAACATGCCAGATTGCCTGATCATATTTCGTTAGTCAGCAGCTAGCTAGACCAAATGACGCTTGCTTTTGTTTAAAACGAACAGATTTCAACCGTGGACGCATTCCAGGGAGGTGAAAAGGATCTCATCATTTTATCGTGCGTGCGCACGGATCACATTGGATTTATTGACTGTGACAGGTGAGGTGCACATGCGGTAAAGTGCTGTCACGTTTTGCAACATGTGATCACATGATGTTACTTGCTACGTCCTGCGTTCTACTACTGCTATCCCTTTATTTCCTTACACTGAAAATATACGTGAAAGGTCAGGCGATTTTTGCTCTCTTTATGTGGATGACACCCAATGTGTTATGTATACTGACCAAAGTTGATAGAGGGGAATGGTTATGAAATCCGACAAAGTTCTTTGTTGTATGTTTTTGTTCTCTTTTTTGGCCTTGACCGTGCACAAAACACACTAGTTGTTTACTTTTGACTGAAGAACTAACCAATAGAAAAATTCTTGTTACGTAATTCATGAATAGTGAATGAGGCCAAAACAAAAGATTGTACACGGTAATGGGCCTTCCAACATAAATCTTGGCATCTTTTTTTTGCTCTTTTGACGCTTGCCGGGCTTAATAACCATTCGCTATTAACTATGTGCTATCTGACTGTGCTTTTTTTTTTTCCTTTTCTTTTCTCTTCTTTTTTTCTTTTCATTTCTCTCGACGCTTCTCTTCTCTCTTCTTTGTTTTCGTTTTGTTTAGGCGCACTAATGTTGCTTTAACGAGAGCTAAAAGGTTTGTATTGTTATCTTTTAGTTTAAGTTCTTGCTTGGTTGTTTCTTTAACTGTCAGAGTAAATATAATCAACTTGGACCTATTTTGTTGTTCTGTTTGTTATCACTGGTGATTGCTGTTTGCTATGTGATTCGCTTTATTTATTCGAGTCTTTTCTTTTTTCTATTTTTTTTTTCTCTTCGTTTTTGTTTTGTTTTTGTTTTTGTTTTCTCTTTTGTTTTTTGTTTGTTTGTTTTTTTTTTGTTTAGGCATCTCCTTATTGTGGGTAATCTGAAGATGCTTTCTTGCAACACCGTTTGGGGGAAGGTTATCGAGCACTGTCAAAGTAAGATGTTTTCTTTACTTGTGAAAACTAGCATCCGTTTACAAGAACGAGAAATGGCCATTAATGTCAAAGATAAGTTACTAACTGCTGTTTATAACTGTCCAAAGCGTCATTTTTCTCACCGATTTTGTTATATTCCTCACTCCAAAGGCTTTCCTGACGGACTTTGTCACTCACAAGACTTTATGAAGAAATGGACACAAGAAAACAATGATATAAATGAGGGTAAGTCCAGGCAATTTGCAAAGTATTCCAGAAGCTTGCGTGGAATCGAAGTAAGAAAACTCTGCCTGCCTCAAAGAATATCCTAACATTGCTCGTCTGAGTGAAAGCTCTTTTTCAGTATTTTAAGGTGGCTCAAACGGGAACTATAAAAGCTATATTTGGCGCGGGGTGGGGGACGTCGGAATTGAGTTTTTTTCTTTTTCCTTTTTTTTTTTGTCGCTAATATATATAGCTGTTCTACAGAGATACCAAATACTACAACCTTAAAATTCCTTTAGGCGATATAGACACTTTAATGTGTGTTTTACGTAATGTTTAGGTCCTGACAGCAAAGCGTTTTACCTTAATCCAGACACAGCAGCGTGCCCCAGCCAAAAAGCTAATGGCAAAGAACAAACCCTGGCGCCATCTATTCCAAAGTATCCGTGCGGTCCTTCCATGAATGAAATAACGGCAAATGGTGAAAGACGATGCACCAAAGACGACAGTCAGGTGTCAGCTCCTCGTGGCACGACTCAACCTCTCTCTTTTCATCTACCCTGTACAGATATTTTGGACTTGGATAGCACCCTGCAAGATGATACTGATGACGAATTGCCTACTTTTGACGTGTTTTCCTCTTTGGGAATTGAACCGGTTTAGTGGAAAGATTCAGTTAATAAGCAAGTGTTGCGCAGAGGTTTTCAAAAAGTTGACAAGTGCATTTTTTGTAAACCTATACTGAAACGACGACACGAGGTCGAAGAAATAGTTCAAGAAGTGGAATAAAGTTCACCGATTACAGAAAATTAGCTTTAAGAAAAAAAGAAAAGAAAAGAGAAGAAAAGGTGCCTTCACATGCGTTTTCGTGGATAGATGGGGGTACTGGAGCGGAGAGGAAAACTACATAAAAATAGAGGCGTCGATACCGCCTCGTGTGCAGCTTAGTGTGAATGGGGCTTAATTTTACCCATTGACATGTCTATTAGTGTTTTACACAGATTGTATATTTGATGATATTTTGATACACATTTATACAGATGTTACAATAGATCTTTGAAAGGTTAGTGCGTTGTGCTGTTATCATTTGTGTACTTTACACGGACTTCATACTACCCCTGACTTAAAACTGATTTTCTTGCAATTCAAATAAATTGGTTGGTCCAGGTAACTTCGTTAATTGATACAACTAACATGATCCCACGAAAAACAAGTATCGAGTCCTTCTTTAAAATGACAAGCAGAAGTCTCCGCACTGATAAGAGGTATACAAGTGAATATATGAATGATCATATATTTGAACGTTAAGGCCGTTAAGGCCTGATTTTCTTTTCTTTTCTTTTTGTTTTTTTTTTTTTGGCTTTAATTTCATAACGGCTTAAGATGAATATAACTGCGATGATCAACAATGTCTTCATATCTTTCTCTGCTGTTCAGATATTTTATCTTTTATATATGCACTTGAATTCTTCACCATCTACAGGTATATTACGAACAGCTCCCAGCTGGTTTGAAAGCTAAGTTGGTAGAGCACTGCACCGTTTCTCAGAGGTCATGGATTCGAATCCTGTTCAGGCCTGATTTTTTTTTTTTTTTAGCCTTTAATTTCACAACTGCTTAAGTTGTGATAAGAGGTATGTTTTCTCCCTCTCTAAGCAAGAAAATCCTTTTTTGTAATTCCAAAACTTGTTAACAAAAGGAAAGGTCATTTGGTAGGGAGTTTGGAGTCCCACAGAGCATTGTCAAAGCCAGTGAAAATGGAACAGAGTTCAAGTTGAATATCTGCACTAGCACAAAAGAGTGTTTATTACGCCAGTTCTTTGTGTCCTCGTAATTTTCACAAACGTCCTGCACTGTCGTATTGTTTATTCTCTTCATCTTTGTGCTTTGGGAATTTGTTCATGATAAAACTTACAATTTTCATCTTAAAGCGGGACTTGATTATGAAATTTGCTAGTTTGATGTCAACATGCATAAGGGATATTGATAGCGTCAGTCGAGCAAAGGGTTCACTTGGGAAAGAGTTTGTACCTCTTAAGTTTATTTCGCGCATTCCAAAAACCTCTGTAACTCGATAAATAGCACACGAAACATGAACCAATTCTCCGCCTCATCTCGCTTACACGAAGAACGTTTTTTCGTCACCCAGCCAAAGGCTAACGGAGCTACTTATTCCGCACTGCCAAGGGACTGATTCCTTTACTAAGCGAGTGCTTGCTTGTCATTTCGTTTGTCATGATACTGGTGCGATAAGTCGTATAATTTTTCGCGGCAGCGGAAGAGAGAGGTAAAAAAATACGCGGATCTATTCTCCCGCCAAAGGAACACGCGTGGTCGTTGTCACCCTATTGCCCCAGGTTGATCATGTTCTTGCGAAAATAGCACGTGTACGTTAGGTTGGGACCGTGTTTACCTCGTATCCCACGGGGCCTAGAAAGAGCAACAAGATGGCGTCCGAAATCTTAGGACTTAGGAACTTCATTGCAGAAATCACATAAACAGCTATAACGCTTCAGCAGGGGAAGCTTACTGGAAGGTTCCTGACGGCGGAACAAATGTTGACATGGCCGTTATGAATTCAAACGAGGCTGTTAGACAATCTTGTTCCCAGACGCCACGCGGATTCTTTTGGCTAGCACCAAGAAATAGAGACCTCTGGGAGAAATCGGAAGGTGAGCCAGCATTAGTTACAGCGGTTACTTTCTCTGCGGTTGTTCAGACGTACAGGGCTGTTGAACTTGAACGCAAGCATGAGACGGATAAGTGATGGAGTAACCGATACACGGCAATGACATTTTATTTTACCAATGATAGGCAGCGTTGTACAATATCGTAGCTTCAACAAAAAAAACTATATCCCTCATATAATAAAGGATTTTTCCTATCTTTTTTTTTTTTATCTTTTTTTTTTTTCGGCTTTAAATCCCATTTGTTTTCTGAGATATCTATGACAATTCCTCTTCAAAGTTTGGGACATATCAAAACTTGTCCGCAAGTAAGATTCCCAGGTATTGCCGCTCAAGTAGGTTTCACAATGTTCATTTAAAATGAAGCACTAAACGCAGCGCCCACGTACATCGTAACCGACTGTGTTGTACTACCTAACGAAAACAGTTGTTTCAGCTAGTTATGCTTTTTTATACCGACTGTTATAAAAAAATATGATACCGTAGAATTTCGAAAGTAACGGTCCCCCCGAAAAAGATGGTTCCTTTCTATTGAAACCCGAAAGTAACGGCCCACCCTAAAGTAGCGGCCCTTTGAAAAAGCCAGCTAAAGAGAAACTCTGTTCTCAAGCGCAATGAGGATGAAACAGCCTGACTGCAGGACTGTGCAACTTGAAGAGTTTTCGAACTTAACTCAAGTTTTCTTGAAACTGTGATTTATAAGCTGTATTTGTCTAGCAGCAGAGACAAATGATGTCACATAGTGTAATCAGTTGTATTGCGATATATTAGGATCATTATACTTTCGGCCTACAGTAAAAACGTTTCGGGCCTTTTTTGTTGATACAGTCTGCTTTGGTTATGTGGGTAGTCAGGACCATATATAAACGGAACTGTAAATTTCATGTGTTTTTTTAGTACGTGTCCGCTTTGTCTGAAACGACTGTTACCGCGTACAAACGGTTTTTGAATCATCCGAAAGATACGGCTACCCGAAAGTAGCTGCCCCTTTTGCCTGCGAAATCTGAAAGTAACGGGGGCCGTTACTCTCGGAATTCTGCGGTACTGCAGATTATGTCTCTAAGCCTTGATTTTACTAAAATGAAACGTCAATTATAGCCATTAGGCGACACGCGTAGGTAATAATCGAATTTAAACACCAGTACAAACTGCTATAAAATTAAGCGTTGATTAATGTTTGTTTGCAGCTATTGAGATCTCATTTTTGAAAGAAAATTAACACCTCAATATTTTGGGTAAAATCAAGAGCCCCTTGGTAAAATTTGTAGACATTTCTCGGGGGATACTCCCAGAAAAATTGGATGGGGTGTGCGGCCCGCTTCCCAAAACTCTTACCCTATTTAAGACAAAATCTGTGATTTTCCTTACTCTATTTATTACCTGACTAAAAATTCGATACTCTATTGCAAAATCTCAAACCTTGTGGTTACAGAGCTGTTTTATTCACATATTCTTAATATGACCAGAGGTTCTCTTCATACGAGGAGTTTCAGGGGTATACACTTCTCGGTTTTGAGATACAGATTATTTAAAAATGGCTTTGCGGGCCCGAAAGGTTTCTGGGCTTTCGAGAAACGGACCCGGTTGTTCGAAGGCCGGATTACGCTATTTACAGGATAAATCACTATCCAGTGGATAAGTGTTAACACAGCAAACTATGTATCCACTACATGGTGATTTCTTCAACCTGAACAACCCGCGCCTCACCCTTAAATCAATATCTTGTCTCAGGCCTGCCTGATAATTATTTCCCTAGTTCAGGCTTCATGAAGGGCTTTTGTTATTGATCTTACAAAAAGTAGCCTCTTTTTTTGAAAAAAAAAAAAAAGAAAAAAAGCCAAAATCGATACCCTATTTATGACCAAAACGGCTGAAAACCAACACCCTTTGAGGCTGCACATACCTACATAGCTCATATAAGGGAGTATCCGCCCAGGGAGACATTTATGCATTACAAACAACACCTGCATCCTCGCTATGACTACACTGACCACTAACTCCCCATGTTCCGTAATGGGCGCAGTCATGAAGCGAAGCCTCTCCTCCATGGCAGGCAACATCATCCAACCAGATAGGATCAGATCCCTGACCGTACGCTGCACTCTGAGGTGCTGATGAGGCGCTGAAGTAGCCGAGCTCACGGCAAACCACATTAGCATCATTGATATCCCAATGATCATCGCAAACCGTGCCCCATTGCCCGTTATGATAAACTTCAACGCGGCCATAGTTGTCGCCACCATTTACCAAGCGAACATTAGAAGCGCACTTTACACTGACGTCTCTGCTGTGAGTGCAATCATGATTTCCCCATCCACGATGTCTGCAGTCATAGAGGTGAGACTCGCTTCCTGAACAAGCCACGTCATCTATCCATATCGGACCCGTTCCTTGCCCATGGGTGGCACCGCTATAGGCTTGTAATGCTTCTCTGAAACCAAGCTGTCTGCAAACTACTTTAGCATCATCTATATCCCACGCGTCGTCACAGATCGTGCCCCACTCGCCATTGTAATAGATTTCAACTCGTCCAGTAGTCGGTGTGCTTCCATTAATACGGATGGTACCATCTGTGACAGCTGATGCAGTAATAAAAAATCCCGCGTGTAAGAGCCTACGTTTTTTTAAGTCTGACAGGTTCTTGTAATTTGGGGTAGTTTTGGCAATCTTAGGCTAAGTAGGTTCTTAATATTCTTAATTTCTACTCTGGAGATATAGTTCTTGATTAGCAAGAAAAATAAATAAATTTGAGTTTGGTCCCTGAAGGTACAGTATGTATTCACAACTGTGTCATGTATTTTCTTGTAACATAAATCTGCAACACACCATGGTTAAAATGTTTGTCACAATTTAACTGTAACCCACGTACAATAAACTGCTTGACGTTACATGGCCAAACAGGTTCTTATGTTTTTGGGCATTAAAATGGCAAATCTCTGACAACAGGTTCTTAAGCCACTAGGTTCTTACAAGCAGGTTTTTACTGTAATCGCGAAACAAGTAAAAAAAAGTATATTAATCAAAGAAAAAAAATCAATTAAGCAATAGAGCATGCGCACTTTTTCCGTGTTTACACAACCTCATCTAAACACGAGGGGGTTCTGAGAATTCGAGACAGTTATGCAAACCCGAGACGTAGTCGAAGGTTTGTATATATAACTACAGAATTCTCTCAGCCCCCCGAGTGTTTAGATGAGGCTATGTAAACATGGAAAAAGTGCTCCATTGCTTTTATAAAATAATTCTCAAAGATACGCGCGAATCTAAAACGTCACAACCGTGTTTACAAACTCTCATCTAAACACACCTATCGACCAATGAGGGTGCGCGTAGTAGCACAATTAATTTACTAATGTATATATGAAGTATATATTAAATAACAATACCATGCCGACCGTGACACGTTATCGAGGCCTTAACTATTTACTGTACAGCTAGGTGCAAATAATGTGCATTTGCTGGTAGGAAAGTGAATCATACCTCGGTATGCTGCGACAAATCCGTCGTAATTTCCCGAGCTATCTGATGCAAAGTTCACATACAGTCTGCCTAATGAACTTGTAATGGTCGCTGGAAGGGAAGAACCACTAAGTCGTCCAATCAGGGAAGAAGACGATGATCCTCCATCGTACACATTCACGAAATCGGCAGAGGTCTCTGTGTCGAACCTAAAGAACGCAAGTTCCACGAATGCATTTGTAGAGAAATTCCATTGGCAATTCATATCATTGCTGTATTGTGAGCTCTGACTTGGACGTATCACTCCATTTAAGCTGGTTTGTTTCTGCAGCACACATGAGCTATCTGCCGTGAGGGAAAGTGCTGTGAGGATGAAAAGAATAGCAGACGTCGTTAAATTGACATCTAGCAGTTAAGCTGGCGCAGAAAATAAAGTAAGGTGAGAAATGGGACTTACTTTCACAGTTAACGACCCCGTCCCCTGTGTAACCTGGCAAACATCTACAGGTGTAAGAACCAGCGACATTCGTACACGCAGCTCGGCCATGGCATTTAAAGGAACCCAACCTGCATTCGTCAACATCTATGGCATAAAAGGAATTACATTCTTTATATCCCCACTTATCACACAGACATGCGATTAATAATGTAGGTATTAACTTAGACTGATGCGTCATAACAGTCGTCTCATCCCTGTATAATCCTCCGAAGATACAAAGAAGGGTGGAGAGGGTTCCTATCACCCTCTCTCCCTGTTTTTATCAATGTTTTTGCTTCTTGTTGTTGTTGTTGTTGTTGTTGTTGTTGTTGTTGTTTCCCCCACATTTGGCGGAGCTATAGCACGATTTGGCGATTTTAGGGTAGCCTTATTGGCGTTTCTTAACTATTGCTTTTTTTTGTCTGTAGGAAAATAATTCATCTGCCAAAGAAAATATATTAACTGGCCGCCCTGACGTCACCTCAAAAGCTTTGTTATATTGATCTGCCGAAGTGCCGTGTTCTACGACAACCGCCGCAAAAACGTAATGATTGTGGTCACGGGGCGGGGAAAAGGGGAACAGGGCGAGGTTTTGACATTATTTTTCCTAACGTTCTATACGTGAGAAAATGTTAATATTCCATGCACTTTTATCGCAAAAACATAATTTGGTAATTGTAAAGTTTATTGTTTCAATGTTGATTTTAGTTCAGGACACTGCGTCCCAATATTTCCATAGGCGCAGATAACGCTGCTAACTTGAGGTCGCAATTTTTTTAAAATTGCTGCTATTTATTGCTTATCTTTATCCACAAACCTGTGCAGTCTCCTCCATTCAGTCTATATCCAACAGGGCACTGACAAGAGTAAGAACCTTCACTGTTTACGCAGGAAGCCATCGCTGGGCAATCGTACGCGAAGTCTTCACATTCATCGTGATCTGTACATCAAGAAAAGGTGCGCTTTAAAGAGAGTCAGTCACCGTTTTTTGAGTTCTTTTGGCCACGTACAAAATTACCTTAAAATTGAAGGAAACCTGAAAATAAAAGTTTACTAAGATAGAAAAATAACAAAGAGATAATTATAAACCTCAAAGGAACAAGGATGATTAAGGGTGGAGAAGATTAACACGGATTAGAAACAACGAACTTGAAAAATCTAGGCTTCATGATCACTTTTCAAGAATTTCATTATGCGGAGCATTTACGACTCACTAAAAAGTTGTCTAGAACAGGTTACGTATACGTATAGAGCAGCATAAGCGACAAATCAAAAGATGTCTGCAAAATCCGCCTCGAAGTTTAACCCTTTCAGCTCTAAAATTAGTTTAATCAGTAGACACCCAATACCCATGTATGGTATATCATTTGAAAGCTACTGATCTGCATATTCCAAAAATTGCATCAACAACCACTAATGAGGTGGTAGCTTTGGCAAAAGATGATTTAAAAAAAACAAACAAACAAACAAAGAACGAAAAAGTCAAAACAAAAAAGACTCAAAATCTCTAGGTATATATATTAGGTATACCCTGCAAATTAAATCTTATTTTAAAGCTCTCGACGATTAAGTTAATAACAAATGCACTAGAAGAAAGGCTAAAAACTCCCAAGGGGTGGGGAATGATACTGATCATGTATAGGGGTCCACAGTTTATGTTCTCAGTAAGTAGATCTTTATAGGACCATTTTGGTGTAAACTCAGCCAGATATGAACGTAACCAAACATTGAACTGAAGTCACAAGGACATTAGTGCTCTTCAGTGGCGAAAGGTTTAAATGAGCTCATCACAGAGGCTAGATCTTGAAAAACAAAATGTCTGATAAATCAAGTTAACTAACGGGATTTGCTAGTGAGAAAGACTGACATCTAAATCTACAGGTTCTATTAATTGGCAAAAGCAACCGTCACAACTTAAAGTTCAAGTTCGTCTTTTGTAATCCGTATTAATCTTCTCCATCCTTAACGATCCTTGTTCCTTTATGGTTTATTATGATTTGTTTGGTGTTCTTCTATCATAGTAAACTACTATTTTAAGATTTCCTTCAATTTAAAGGTAATTTTTTACGTGGCCAAAACAACTCAAAATGCTGTGACTTAGCTCCTTTAAAAGTCCCAACCTGAGTTGCCAAGTGTATTATTTTCCTTTTCTATCAAAATCAAGGCACGCACCTTTCTTGCAGGTAAATCTGTGACAGTCTGTGCAATTCACATCGTTCCATTCATACTGATGACCCTTGAGGAAACCAAGAGTATGAACACAGTCTTCATTATGAAAGTCATTTGGTTGGCTATTCGCCCAATGTTGGAAGTCAAACGACGTTCCATCGCTCCAGACAAATGTTCCTTCGGTGTTCACATCAGACAAGCCCAGCCAAGAATGTTCTCCGCCATGTAGACTTTGAATATAAACATTTTCTTCCTGGCTGTGGATACTAGGAAGATTAGCTCCCAGTGTAGCGCATGTGCCTTGGCTGGCACTCCATGAGTCACAGGAAGATACTTTCCTGTAGCAATATCCCTTAAAATAGGTCCAGTCATCTTGGCAACCGTCTATTCAGAAAAAGTGGAAACATAATTTTAACTATTCGTTTGTTGATGCTGTTGTCCAAGAGATCAGCTTAATATGAATAGTCCTATAAAGTTTTTTCCCTGTTGGCACCCTCTTTGCAATTTGTAAATGTTATAATCCTTTTTTTAATACAAATTCAAATAAAGTTGATATATGAATATGTCCTTCCTGTTTCTTTTTTGGTTTGCTAAGTTTTGCTGTTTTTCATGTTGTTGTTGTTGTTGTTGTTGTTGTTGTTGTTCACATCATGTTTCTGCTTGTTATGTGTTTCGTTTAGCTTGGTTCTCTACTTTCTGTCGTTGTCATTGTTTTTGTTCTCAATAAAATTGTTTTTATTTGCTTTGTTTTCAATGCTGGTTGTCCTTTGTTGGTATTTGTGTTTCTGTTGTTATTGTTGTTGTTTTCGTTGGTTTTGTTGTTGCTAACAATGCCATTGACATTGCTGTCAATTGAAACTTCGCAACGTAATTTAACAACTTCTAACAAAATGATTTTAAAACATGCTTTTACCCGCTAGTACTGCATATGAGACATCCAGTGGATCAAAATGCTGAACAAATAGCTCTTTGACGCAAATCCGAAATTTGGAGTTGGTGATATACTTGAAGAGAATAAAGACAGAAAGTTTTATTATATATTAATTAACAAACAATTTCAATATCTAAAAACCAGTTACCAGATCAGGTCAGTCGCCAAGGAACCATCTTCTTCTCGACTTCAACAGAATAGCATTATGATAAAAAATGTAACGTCAATATTATTACATCAGCTGTGAATATGAAACAAACTACACCGTTTTACAGAGGAAGCCTCGAGAGCTTTTGTGGTTTTCAAGCGGATCCTCTACATCCAGATCGAATTCGAATTTTCCGCCTTTCTTGCTATGGCAGACGTTTTCTCTCTATATAAAAAAGACAACTTAGTGAAATTATTGCAAAAGATTGTCTTCATTTAAGATTACCTCAATCCAGCTTACAATTCCGTTACACTCTGCCTTTACACTTCCTGCACCGATGGAATGTGTAGCCGTTATCATAACTATTGGGGATTTGCTGTAGCTCCGGATGAAGTTAACATCCTGTTAATCAGAAAATACAACGACCATTAATCTGACTAACAAAGAAACGTACCTATATTTCGGCCACTTTTTTGGTAAACTCTCACGATGTCGTGATTTGGAAAGATTTTAATTTTGTGTAAATTCAATTTGTTCAAATACTTCTACCTATACAAAAACCAACTCAGAGTGACGCTGTGCAACATCTATGTTACACTCCCAGCTAAACCCTGTCCTCTTTGCCAAAATTTTTCTCTCCAAATCTAATTTCGCATAATCTTTACCATTCTTACCTCACAGAAGGCAAAGTTATGATTCTTAGCAGGCAAGACGTCATTTTGAAAGCTGACATTGCTATGCTCTTTGAAAAGCGGTCTATGAAGAGAGTCAAAGGTCAGCCAGTTCTGAAATAAAAACGAGAAAAAATGCGGTTGAGGTAAGATACCGTGAATTATGTTTAAACACCAACCAGTAGTTTGCATATCTAGACGAGTAAAGTTTAAACCAATTGACGAGGACTCCACGTTGCCCTTGACTTGCATTACATTGCATTGCATTGGATTGCATTGCACTGACTGCATTAAAATTCAAAAACCTACCACTAAGATTTCATCATGAACACCTGCAAAATTTTGAAGCTCCCGGAGACAAATCTTAAAAGAACTTGCTGACACATCTTCAAGCCACACACTGGCCGCGTCGTGCTTAAGGCCCGACCTGTGGTGCACGGCTGTTGCAAATATTGTCGGCGAGCTAGAATACTTTCCCTGAAAATAAAAGAAGGGACGGGGTTATCAATTTGGAATAGATGACTGCCTAGATATATTGGGGATGCAAAAATCCATTCTCTGATTTGTTATCTGTTCTTTTTTTTTTTTCTTTTTCTTTTTCGCTATATACCACAAGCTTACAATACGGACTTTTTTTCTTTTTTTTTTCTTTTTTTTTTTTTAATATTTGTTGTCACTGAAAAGCTCCATCAGTAGAATGTGAATAAACGCATTGTAATCCACTGACTATTTCGAACAACGCATACCGAGTTTTATTGCATTTCCAAACACCAAGATGGGAGTTGAAAAATTCGACGCACATCGGAGTGTTTTTGACGAGCTCCGAGGTGTTTGGAAATAAGGTCAAACACTTTTTCGAGTATTCAATGCCTCTTCTTAATCAAAACCAAACCTAAAGAGAAAACCAGGAAATAAAATCGATAAACTATACGCTAATTAATATCAGATGCACAAACATTGTCACGATTGTGATTTCCTTTGTTTAAGCTTTATGAATCATAAATGAGCTTGAGAATAAAGATGGTCACATCCCGGGGTCACTCAGTATACATACATTTGGAAGGGTGACTGTTTGACAGATGGTCCCAGTCCACCATCGAGAGAACTTTTCTTCGCCTGTCACTCCCCCAGACGGCGCACCCTGATAGGCTATCCAATCAACTGTGGCGAAGCTATCTGAAGGATAGTCATTCCTACCAGCTCGAGTAACACAGGCAGTGAATTGACTGACGTTGACGTTTTCAACCCAAGGTATAGTGGCCTCGTGCACGAAGGTTGCATCGGAGTAATTCACGTGGTTAACAGTCAGCTGTACGTAGATTTTCTTATGAGGATAAAATATGTAAGGTTTAAACTTGATGGCTGCACACTGATCCTCGGCATAGGATGGGATGTTTGGAAGTTGATGTCTTCCTTTTTGAAAGGGAAAACCTACAAGTGAACAGAGAATTTAATATTTCTCCAGATATTCGACGCAGTTTTTCGAGCACGTCTTTTAAAGGAGCTCAGTCACGGTATTTTGGCTTTGTACAAAATAACCCTTAAATTGAAGGAAACCTTAAAATAGTAGTTTAATACAATAGATAAACACTAAACATGCAATAATAAACCATAGACGAACAAGGAAGGTAAAGGATGGAGAAGATTAACACCGATTTCAAACGAAGAACTTAAAAAATTTCGGGTAAATTTTTCAAGATGCGCAAACGCGTGCTATAGCTCCTTTAAAGTTAAGTTGAAACTTGATTTATTGTAATAACACCATGTTTACCGTAACGATTTCATTTAGTGACTTTCTTTCTTATATTATAAGCGCGCCACACAAGTGCCATTTGTAAAAAGCGCCCTTGTTCCAATTGCCCCCCTTCCCCTCCACATAAGTGATATTGACATAAAATTGACTGAGTAGACTATTGAATTATGAAGTCTGCTTTTTCTGTATTTTTAATATTCACGGCATGAGACAGTATATCGTTGTCTTTTTTTTTTTTGTTTTTTGTTTTTTTTTTTACGAACAGGTCATCTGGATGCCCAGTAGATGACATAACGGCCACGAATTTCTATTTAAGAGTATTTCGAATATCCTCTTGGTCAAACATTGGGGTGACTTGCACCGTTTACAGGTTTCTTTATAATTGGCCAAACAAAACAATAGATAAAGAACAAAAACAATGCCTCTACCCTAAGAACAATGAATCAAAATAGTAGTTTTAAAGAGGTGCTGATTAACTGCAAACGAATTTCTATTTAAGAGTATTTCGAATATCCTCTTGGTCAAACATTGGGGTGACTTGCACCGTTTACAGGTTTCTTTATAATTGGCCAAACAAAACAATAGATAAAGAACAAAAACAATGCCTCTACCCTAAGAACAATGAATCAAAATAGTAGTTTTAAAGAGGTGCTGATTAACTGCAAACTTTGATTGTATGTGTTTAAAAAGAAGCTGACTGACTCCTGGTATTACAAAATTGGTATGTTGGGTACCTGTGCAGCTCCCAGGATGATATGCGGTATAATTTGCACGGGTTAGGCAGATTTCTTGCCGTAGCAAACACAAATTGTCGAATGTGCGACCGTTTGAGGCGCAGACCTGTTCCTCATATGACGGGCAGTTTTCTTCACAAACACAAGCATACCGGTGCGGAGTCAATGATATACAGTGGCTGTGGTACTCACAGGTCACGTTTGTACAGGGATCAAGATCTGCGGAGGTGGAATTGAAATAAGTCAGATAAACCTTGGTTGGCAATCTGCTGAGATCCTAATTTATGAATAATCCACTATACTAGTGCAGTTACTGAAACATTATCTCTACTTACTTTTCGTGCTGAAGCACACACATAGGTAGATACACATAATAAAAGGACACTACATCATGGCAATGTTGCTGACTTTTTTGATCAAAATCATACTAAAATTCTGACTGAGTACCTTCCTTCGCTCATACAAAACAAGAAGTTCCTACAACACAAAGTAGAAGATACTAACTGATTTGTTGAAGGGAGAGCCCATTGCAGTTAATTTTTTTTTTTTAATCGTTTTACTTTTTCTTTTAAGACACAACGACAGAATACCTTACACAGAATTTTTCACATTGGCATTCAGACCGCCTTACGCATCCATAAATTTGTATAGCTTCATTGCTATTGTACATGTATACTAATTTTTAATAAAACTTGCGAGGTATTCGCTAGTAACATTACGTCTTCGAGATATTACCTTTTCGAGATTATGTTCATTATAGTAACCCTTCGGAACATATCTTCATATATTTACCTCCTATAACTAAGTAGTCTACAACTACAATGCCCCTTGGACCATCGTAGCCGGCGTCATCCTTGATACAGACTCGAAAGTAGGAGGTCGTTATTTCCTTTGAAAAATCAGACATTAAAAATGTTGTTAGAAAATGTTCTGTTGATGGGTTGCTGAGAGGAATCAAATGTTGGGTTTTGGGAGATTTAAACGCCTAGTGGTTTTGTTTTGTTTTGTTTTTTGTTTGTTTGTTTGTATTTTTGATGTGGTTTTGTTGATTTTCAAACAAAACATGGTCTTCGTGAAGTATTTTCTGTGTTTGTCATCATCATCGTGGAAGAAATAGTTATAAGTAATAATTTAAAATTTCTTGATGGATTGTACTTACCTCCAGCCAGCTGCCTAAAGGACCTTTCACCGAACATTGTGCATCGCTTCTGCCACCATTGCTAACGGTAGTGAGTATTACAGGTGGTGCATAAAATGGAGAAGCAAAGTTGACATTCTGTATGGAAAAAAGACAACAACAAAAACAGATATATATGTCTTCAGCTATTCTACGCCTCACAGTAATCTCAAACGAGCTAAGTCGTGGTTTGTGCATCTTGAAAACTATAGCCTAAATTTTCAAGTTCGTCTTTTGTAATCTGTGTTAATCTTCTCCATCCTTAACCATCCTTGTTTTTTTATGGTTTTATGATTATATCTTGAGTGTTTTTCTATCTTAGTAAACATTTATTTTCAGGTTTCTTTCAATTTAAAGATAGTTTTGTACGTGTCCAAAATAGGTCAAAACACTCGACTGAGCTCCTCGTCCTGATAGATAGCAGAAGTAGAGCTGTAAAACCGGTTGTGGTGGGCAGAAGCAAACCATTCCCTATATAGCTAGCTAGATGATAAGAAAGTAATGATCAGAAGCCGCTTAGTAATCAACACAAATTCAGTTAGTGTTTGGTCGACTTCGAAGTCATGATAAAAATCTTCATTAAAAGTATTTAAGGCATGCACGCATACCTTACACAACGAGTAATTGTTTTGAGCAGCTGGTAACTCGTCTTCCGTAAACACAACCTCTGCTGACTCCTTTGCTTCCCACGATTTTGGGAAATGCTCGTATGCCATCCAGGTCTAGTAAGAAAAAGTAACAATCAGCAAAGAATCAGTAAGAATCACCAAACACTGACAGTCCTTGGTTATTCGACTGGTTGCTAACATTTAGAATGAATGATAATCCGAGAAAGTTCATTTTGTCGAAATGCAGACAATTGTCAAAGTGGAAGTTATATTTCGGTATGAGCTATAACATCATCAGTTTAGAATATGCATACTAGGCATCTTTTAAATACGGTGTTAATAACAATGAGGAGACGAAACAAAAAGTAATACTCATGAGAGGCAAAATCCTCTGCTGGATTTGTGTCCTTTGTCGAGGGAAGGTGTTTGGCGTTTGATGTAGTATATGCCTTTTTGTACAGGAGAAGAATCCTATGTACTTAAACTACCAGCAGGTACTGGGTTTTTAACACATTTTGGAGGAAGAATTTTGCAAGAAACAACAACGACAACAACAACAACAACAACAACTACAAAAACAAAAAACAACAATAACAACTACAACCAAAACAACAACAACTGCTACAACGACAACAACAAAAACAGGATTGCTATATTGGTCTGACAAAGGAATAGCCGGTCTTGGTGTGACATACCACTGCAAGATTGCTGTGAGGCCCGTCAAATGTCCTTGATTCTCGTAAACAAACTTCAAACTGACTTGTGGTAGCATTTTCAATCCAAACGTTCATGGCGTCTTGCTTTTGGTTTGGAGTATTATGTTTAACGGTCACTTGAACCTCCGGTACCGATGAAAAGTACTAGAAAATGAAATAAAAACATAGCAATGAAATTAGGTCGCTTTTGCCATGTGCTGTTTCTATAAGCATACATGTTTCGCTAACACAAAATAACTCTAAAAATTATATTGTATGTACCTAAATGGACAAAGCGGAAAGTGGAAAATAGAGGACAAAATTCAAATGCATCTAGACTTTACTTCGAATGTTTATTCTTACATTTTCCCATTGTTATAGCCTGAAATGACGGCCTTATCTCCTGCCTCAGCCTGATCCCTGGGTGAGAGAGGCCTGATCATGAAGTTTGAGCGTTAAATATACAGCGATATTGTACAATTATTTGTACAGTAGAAAACCTTTTTGCTCGTTGTTTCTATTTTGACTCGCCCTGCGGGCTCGTCAAAATACGACACAACTCGTAAAAATATACACCGATACTACACACCAAAAACTGTAATAAGATATATGTACTCGAGCTCCCCAGAATTTAACACGCAGAACGAGTATACAATATTTGTACTCCTGAGGAAACCTGTTTAACAAGTAAGTTGCATATATAAGTCCTCCAACCTTGGCGGGCGCAACGAACGCAAAATACAGTACGTTTAAAGTTCGGTTTTCGGGAGGGGAAAATGTAAATATATACAGCGACCTGCACCCTAAAATGTCTCATAAGATATAAGTATATGTACCTGGGGAAATGCAACCTGACTGCACTTTGTTCCAGTAGTAAATAAGCTAAAACCCGCTTCTCCATGATGGACTCCAGACTGGGAACCTTGGAATGCAAACCAGTCGATAGTAGTGTTAACTTTGTGGCCCCAGCCACCTCGCACGATACAGGCCTGGAACCCGTTTGGTGTTACATGTTCTACCCACATAAAAGCAGAGTCATGTACTCTTACAGACTCATTTCCATGATTGATTGAAGCAAACACTCTCACGGAGGTTCCACTCGGAAAACTGTTGTTAAATGACACTGATTCGCAGAGAAAATCGCCATTCTTCAGTATGACCAGTTTTCCCTTCTGAACTCCCGCTGCCGATAAATACATGTAGGAAACAAAACGAAACAAATCAGCACATTAAGTTGAGCATTATTGGACAATGATCACTCGCATCCGAAATGCCTTAATTTATGACCTCTTAGCTCTGACAGACATAGAGTTTGTTTTCAACTAAACAAACCCCTCGAGGCTGTGGAAATCCTTGATACAGGAATATATGTAATGTGCTTTTGGAACCCAACTGTTTTCAAACGCGATACGTATAACTGCCCTTACACTATTATCCCACCACTACAATATCCTACAAAACTGATTAGCTTACGAATTATGCGGGCCTCCCAGGAGTTTTGGGTAATAGAAGGCTTTCCGATATTAATTAATTCATGACCATTTATGACCTCTAAGCTCTGACAGACACGTAGTTTTTTTTTTTTCAACTAGTCAAACACAACGAAGTGGTTGAAATCCTTTATACAGGAACTTATGGAACCCAATTCTTTTCAAACACGATATTGCGCGGATTCCCCTAGACTATTATCCCACCGCTATAATACCCTACAAAACTGCTTGGCTTACGAATTGTGGGGGCCTCCCAGGGGGTTTTGGGGAACAATGGAACGTGATCATTTATTTTAAGGGAACAAGGGATATTTTGGGATTAATTTGAGGGAACAACAGATATCTCCTCTATCACAGGGAACTTTGACAAAGCATTTTAGGAAACAAGGGAGAAAAAGTGACATTTTCAAGGGATCACTGAAACACGCCATCCCCCTCCACCCTTCTTAGGAGGCCTTCAATTTTCAGACGATGTGGTATGACCTAGAGCGTTATTGTGTCGCTATGGTACCAAATGACGCCATCATGGCACTCCCAAATGAACTGAGGAAGTGACCTGACTGTTTTTAAACCGTTATGGCTTACGGCCGGCACGAATTTGTCAAAGATGGATGTTTTTCTGTTTTTCAACTGTATAATAACACAAAATGAAATTGCGCGAAATTGATTTAACTCCACGTACTTTAGTGTCATTTCCGAGAAAGGACACACCGCAGAAAGCTTTTCAAGTTCTGTTGGTTAAGTGATGATCGACAAGAAGGCAACTAAGCAAAAGTAAATTACCCTCCCAAGTAAAACTGCAGACCAAACAAGACAATATGTTATGAATGACCGGAAAATACGCCGAGTGGATGTCACAACCTTTTTTGTCTAATTATAAGATGTCTTGAACCTCGGCTCACGTGCAGCTCGCAGTTTATTTTCGGTCTGTTTAACTGAGATATAACCTACAATGGTAATCTAAAACCAACCTTTGACTAACCGCCGAGCACTGTGCAAATACCACAAAACGATTCCTGATTGTATCGGCCAGGGGACGCGTTTTAAACTGCTGCACTTAAGACTTAATGTGGTCAAGTTCCCAAACGTGATAATGTTATTACTTACGTCAAAGCTTTCCTTTTCTCAAAGTCTTAACGTAACTAATGTCAAAGCAGCAGAAATGTATAAACGGTATCCTGGGAATCTGTTTCCGGCAATTTAATTAGTAATATTTTCAGCGACAATGGACCAAATATTAAAATTAATTCAGAACAAATGCATTCTCTAGTGGTGCAACTGAGAGGGAATTAAAAGGAACATCTCCATTTATGGGATTTGTTTTAACAATGCACGGTCGCTTTTCACCGTAATCATTGCATTCATAATGCAATCAATATCGTGAAGGACGCATTTACTTAACAAATAAGGAAGCCTCGACTGTGCTCTGTTTTGTTGTAAAGCACGCAGGAAGAGGCAGAACACGAATGAAGTGTGGGGGAAAATACGAGATTGCGAGGTAGTTGAGTCCCGACTTCTTGAGTGCTCTACTGCTTCCTAAGTGCTTTACAACAGAACAGGGCGCAGTCGAGGCATCTTAATTTGTTTAATAATAGAGAAGCCATTAATTTTCCCACGCATTGAGCTATAATATTTTCAAACCAAACTTTATTTTCCAAACGAGTAAAAAGTGGCGTAAGCATACATCTGTTCTCTGATAAAGCACGCTAAAATTAGCCAATCACAATCCTTGTTGGAATTGTTCAAATAACATGATTGGCTAACGAGACAACACTGAACTGTCAGTCACAAACTGGCCTTTAGCTAAACGTTCGGTTTAGGTTTCTGAGAGAACAATGATCGCTTCAAAATTCGCTTATTATTTTAATCTTATAAGGATCTAAAAGCTTCTTTTCCGGTGGAATTCAGTGAATCCGGCCCTATTGTGGCTTATGCAAACGTGTTTTTTTTTTTTTTTTCCATTGAAATTACGAAACGAAACAAAGGGCTCAACGCTTGGGGATGATCACGAAAATGCGAAATGCTAGCTGAGTCTACGATGTAAAGAATAAACTGCTCCCACTGGTTCTTCTCCGAGTACAGAATTGCGAGGACATCTAGAACATTACAGCAAGCTTTCAATTGATCATTCTTCGGGTGAACGTTGAAATTGTTGACTGGGTCACTTCGCTGAGATGACCAGAGATCGCTATTCAGCGAATGAGGCGTTCCCACACTGACCTACACTCCATGCGTTAATTAAAGTGCTCAACATTTAACAAAAATATAGCTTATCGTCATAAATACAGACAGCTCAATTGGCGCTTGAATCTGTCGTTGTTTTACATGTATAGTAAACTTTCTGCCCTCGTAACTTATATAATGTCTTTTATCGAAACATCTGATAAATTGAAAATCCGCTTATTTAATTTCATTACGTGATTAACGTTTTGACGAAATCTAGCAAAACTTATAATTTTAGTGCAGTTTTAACACCACTGTTGTTGACAGTGGCCAGCATGCAGCTCTGTTTATTGCAGAAAAGTAGCTCGTTTCTATTGCGTTTGGGTCAAATTCGTCAGAATGCCGAAGCAAACAATAAAAATCCAACACACCGTAGCTTACCATACATTTTTGCTCTGATAAAGCAAGCTATTTTAACCAACCCGTGAGCGCGTTATATCGAAACTATATTATTAACTATGTTGGGATGGTTCTGTGCTCAGCGAAAAGGCAGCAAAGATTTATTACATGCGTCAACTCGACCCGTGGGCTCCCCTGGAACGTAATCGTCAAAAACAAAGAGGAAGAAGGAAAACAATACCATGGCCAGTCATTTTAGAAATACCAGCCAATTTTTTTTTTCCGGGTGCGCAAACGGGAAACTATTTCGCGTTCTAAAGAGAAGCATAAATTGAATTTGGATAAAACTTAATACAATAAAGTACAAAAAAGTATCGTTACCTTTAACGCTGCTGAGCATTAAGCAACAAACCAGCATAAACACACCTTCCCTCGTTACGAAAATCATTGTTCGATAGTTCGGTGTGGCCACTACTTCTTAAAGTTAAGACTGCTCACTACGCAAAAACTGAAACTCCTTTTTGATAGTGGTTGGAATAAGATAGCTGAACTGAACGATACGTGTCATCGAGCCATGCGTGTGCGCATACACGGAAAAGAATATGAGACGTTTCAGCGCACTCGGAAAGATTAGCGCTTTGACGAGGTCACCAAAATATAATAATGTTACGAAAAAAACAAAACAAAACAAAAANAAAAAAAAAAACAAAAAAAAAAAGCAAACACGCGATTTCACGCTGCGTGTGCGCATACAATGAAAAGAATACCATAGACATTTCAGCTCATTAAAAGATTTGCGCTTTGACGAGGTCACTAGAATATAATAATCTTACGGCAAGGAAAAAAAAAGCAAAACTCAAGCGCTTTCTCACTGCGTGTACGCATATAGCGAAATGTATATCACAGACGTTCATGCGCACTCGAAAAAAGGCTTACACGAGGTCACTACAAGTCAACGTGCGTTCAAGCCAACGTGCGTTCAAGCCAACGTGCGCTTTCTCCTTGCGTTTTCTCATAAAAGGAAGTTAATATCAGATGTTCCAGCGCACTCGGAAAGATAAGAGAGTTTAAGAAAACCACGACGGCAACGGCAACGGCAACGTCGCCAAACAAAGGTTTAATGAGCAGAACAGTAGCTGTACACGTGCGTTATAATTTTTAGGACATTTCTTTGCCGCCCTCTGCAAAACAACAACATGAAATGGCCAAATTCTACGTTGTCCAGAGAACGTGAACCACGACGGCTAACTTTTTTGTTTTTTGTTCAAATGCTTCACCCTGTCCCAGATTCAGTGTCGTGATAGTTTTGGCACTGAGAAACAAAGGAAAATGACTTTAGAGTATCCCGAGATTCGTGCCGTAAAATATAAAATCATTTTTTTTAATCGACGTTGTCCTCAGCGTCGCGTCTTGGTTTCTTAAACTCCCTAATAGCGCTTTGACGAGGTCACCAAAATATAATAATGTTACAACATGAAAGAAACAAAAGCAAACACGCACTTTCTCGCTGCGTGTGCGCATATTGCGAAATGTAGGTCACAGACGTTCATGCGCACTCGAAGAAATGCTTTGACGNAAAGACAACGCGCGCTTTCTTGTTGCGTTTTCCCATAAAAGGAAAAGAATAGCAGATTTTCCAGCGCACTTGAAAGATTAGCGCTTTGACGAGGTCACCAAAATATGATAATGTTACAGGAAGGAGAAAAGAACAAACGTGCGCTTTCTCGCTGTGTATGCGCATACAACCAAAAGAACATTTCATGTTTCAGCGTCCTTGGAAAATTAGCGCTTTGACGAGGTCACTAAAAGAATGTTACAGTAAATAATCGATGTGCTCACCACTCGTTGATCACGATATTTTGCCCATATTTTGTTTAGTCCCCAGTCCATTTATTGCTGTAGTCCAGCCACAGATAGTCTCATCCAGTTCTTATGTGAGATAAAGGGGTGTGTCGGGGGCAGGTCTTAGGTCTGGGACGAATCTACCCACAAGCCTTTGAGATCCTGCAGGCAGCCAAAAGAGCAAACAAGATGGCTTCCGAAATGTTAGTCCTCGAGAACTTCATTGGTGGAAAATTCGTGCCTTGTGCGAATCACATCGATAGCTACGACCCATCAACAGGGAAAGTTTACTGCAAGGTTCCTGACAGCGGAGAAGAAGAAGTTGACATGGCCGTCAAGGCTGCCAGCGAGGCTTTCGAAAGGTCAGGATTAAGGCTTTTCTGCATAATTTGCATGGTGGCCGGCCAGTGCTTACGTTTGTTGCAGTAGAATGAAGATCGCGTGTCTCAGGACGAATTTTTGTTTTAACGGTCCCTCATTTTTTTCTCACCCTATTATACGTGATAGGAACGGCCTGCATGATAACTACATGTATATCAGGGCCATTCCATCTCTATTGAGGACTTTAAATTTAACCCTGTTAGAAAAGTAAATATTTTACCCCTCCACCATCTCCACCCAAAAAAAGAACATGAAAGTGCTGTCATACTTCTCCCTTTGAACATAATTTCTAAAAGATCAAAGGTACTCAAAAGTGGTCTTTAAAGACTCCCTCCTCCCCCTCAGATTTCCGAGACCCTCAATGAGGGAAGGGTGTGCATATAAAAAAATGGAATGGCTCAATTCCCCCTCCCCCGCAGGTGCTGCCTTTCTAATCGTATCTAATTTTGTAACAGCTCCTTTTCCCAATGCATCTGCAGATGGGGATTAAATAGTGCTCTCTTGTTTTGTTGTCTGGCTTTAGTTTAGTTGACCAGTTGTAGAGTTTGATTGTCTTTATGGGAGTGTAAATATACAGTGCCAGTGAAATTTACTTAGAAAATATTCATGAGTACATGCTAGAGGGTTAGTGATGAATGAACCCCTCCTGGCTGAGCTGGTCAGAGCCATTGGCATTGCCACACTGCTTGGCACTGCTCTGCAAAATGATCATTCAGAAGGTGCTACGTACCCACTTGTTTGCACAAAATTTAAAATTATCACGCTCCATGCATGCACAGCTTGCTTTTATCGCTGATCATGCATTCAGGAAAAGCTTGTGAAGGAGAAAGGTTCTAAAGAAAAAAAAAAGGCATGACCCTCCTTCACTTTTCTGGTTTAAACCACAGCCCTGCTGGAAATTTCACAGTTAAAAGCAGTGCTCCCTAAATTGGGCTTGGTATGGATATTGCCTGTAGTGACACAATGCTATGTACTTGACCTTGCAGGGGCTTCAATAGTAGCCGGGTAGCGGGTAGATCTACCCCCTTGTAATGAGCAGACCACCCACTTGTGGTTGTCGTGATTAGCCGAACACAAATAACTAATAAGATCAGATAATTTCCTCGCAGCTAAGGATTCTCTTCAAGAAATTTGGCAAAATACATGTAAGTCTTATGTTATAGGTAAAGAAAAAGAAAGGTACAAGAAAACACTTTCTAGTGTTAACCCAGCCTTTTGGACCATGAGAGATGAAGGAAAGTCTAACCTAATGCATGAGAACAATATGAAGTGAAAAAACTGTGCCAGGCACTTCAGCTGAAATTGAAAGGAAACTGGGACTAAGCATGAATAATGATGGCTGCCAAAAGGCAATCATTATTAGCATATTTTGTCCCAACATCAAAACAAAAGAGGTCGCAAAAGAATGAGAGGAGAGGTTAGTTGAATATATTGAAAGGGACACATTTCGGTGTTAAAACTTTAACATTATGCTTCTTTTTGTGGTGAGATATGATGTATCATACATGAAGCAATTTGAATATGAAGAATTAAAATACCACATGTTATCAACCTTGTCTTTCAAATTGACTGACTTCTAGGAACAACAAAGCAACATAAAAATAGGCTTCAAAATGCTGGAAAATGCATCTGCGAGGGTCTGGAATTTCAAAATTTCCTGGGTGAGCATGTCCTCAGACCCCCTAGTTGGAGCCTTCCAAGAAACTACCCACCTGTTTTTCTAAACTACCCTCTTGTGCCAAAAATTATTGAAATCCTTGCCTGGACAGAATTAGAGTAGATTTGTAATTAATGTTGTCATTTTCCTGTAGCTGGTCTGTCACTACACCAGAATTTCGTTCAGGGATTATGAGAAAGATTGCAGATCTAATTGAGTCCCAGTTAGATGAGTTTGCCGAGGCAGAATCAAGGGATCAGGGCAAGCCAGTGATGCTGGCCAAAAAGGTGGATATCCCACGCGCCTGCCTGAATTTTAGATTCTTTGCTTCCACGATAATAAATGCTTCATCTTCAAATCAGTAAGTCCTGTACATGTATTAATTTATAGATTACTGTGTAATTCTCTTAGTTGAAAGTGATACTCATGTACCACAAGAGAAACAACAGGGCTGGAAAAACAATAATCGAACTTTAGCTTACTCCTCCAACAATCAGCTCTCAAATTTTGCTTGTCCTAGGCATGTCTAAGTTTAACTTTTTCTTTTTTCTTGGTAGAAGACTTGCCTGGACCTTTGCCCTATAGGCAAGTGAGAATGAAAAGTAACTTACGCAGCAAGAAAATCTATTAATTTGTCTTGGATGATTGGACAGCTTTTTTTTTTAAACCCTGAAGCTAGTCTCAATATCAAATGAAACTCATGAATTAACATACGACTGATATCAAACCAGGAATTTAATGATAACTGTTGATTTATTGCCCATTATGCAATTGTTGTTTTTGTGAAAGTTCTTTTAGATGTACCACTGACCCACTGAATTGTCTTTTATCATCATTTACAACTTCATTTTTCACAGTTCTAATATTCTGGAAAATGTGGGTGCAATGAACTACTCCATCCGATCTCCAATAGGCGTGGCTGGCTTGATCTCCCCATGGAACTTACCCATTTACCTGTTAACATTTAAAATTGCACCTGCCATTGGTGCTGGCAACACTGTTGTCTGTAAACCAAGTGAAATGACATCTGTTACCGCATGGATGATGGCAAAGGTTCTCAATGAAGCAGGTACTTTGACTTGCCTGCAGTTTCTGCAGAGATCAGCCTGTGCATGTATGATGATGCATGTCTAGTGAACATTGCATATTCAATAGTCTCATTGCCCTGTACAACATGGCTCCAACTTTCAATTTTGGAGATGAAAATCTAGTGTGTGACCAGTCTCAAATGAAAGCTGTTGAGGCATATTCTGAACTCAAGTGATACCAAGTACGTTGTATTATAAAATTACAAAATTGTTTTAACCAGGAGATTGGTAGATGACACCCTAAATCTAGTTTTAAAAGAACAGCATTAACATTGGTGCTGTTTTTTGCTCTCGTTTGAAATAATTAGTGAAACGTAATCCTGTTTCAAAACATGTATTTCCATTTGAATGTTTAATTACCTTAGCAAGACTCATTTTCAAACACAGTTGAAAGATGCAAACTGTTAAGTTCACAGAGTGACATGTAATATTTGGGATGATTTTGGGTGTTTTTCTTGGAAATATATTTTTTTTATTTTCAACACATTTTTGTGGTTGAATTGGCGGCACTCTACATTGTACAACTTTTTCAGGGGACAAGAAGATAAACGGATTTTGAAGATTTTTTTGTAAGGCTGGTATCTCTTATCCTGCATCGTGGGTTACTAGCATCTGCGAAATAGCACACAAATCCTTATTCTAGACCCCCAATGAAGAAAAAAAACACCGGAATTCACTTTCGAAATCTTTCCTGATTCTAATTGTTATTTTCAATACTCCGGTCCCGCGGAGCCAACAAATGGTTGCGAAAAATTAAAAGCTGTAAAAATATAAGAGGGGACAGATAACAACAGAAAACATGCAGACCTACATTGTATGCTAGTACTGTCAAATGGCTCTACTCCACTACTCCTCCTAAATAACACAGCATAAAATGCTCTTCAGAAACAAGTGTGAATCAAAAAGGTTGAGAAAGCAAAATTCAAGAGAGAATGGAAAAGTGTGCAAACGTCACGAACTGTAGGAGTCCGTGTCATTTAAGCACAACAAACCATTCAGGTAAACTAAACATCAAAATGTACGAGTAAATGCCATTTGTGATGCAGGCTAGCATCTCTGAGTTTTCACCCCTGATTTTTTTTTGTTGACAGGTCTCCCTCCGGGTGTTGTTAACTTGGTGTTCGGCACTGGACCAAAGGCAGGAGCTCCAATTGTGAAGCATCCTGACATTCCAGTGGTATCATTCACTGGTTCAACTGCCACTGGTCAAGCCATCACAGAAATGAGTGCTCCATTTTACAAGAAACTTTCACTGGAAGTGAGTGCTAAATCTGAGCATCTCCTACAGTACATGTATATACTGTAATCAGGGCTGTCATTAACTTTTGTTTCACCTGTTGCCTTGGTCTTCACACCCATAATAATCTTGTTACTTTATGAGTGAATTGTATGAACTAAAGGCATTAGTATCAAGGGCCCACCAAGCATGTTCAGCCATAGCAGGTGCAATAGGTTACGCCCTTATTGACAGCCCTGATATTAAGCCTAATAACTGCAGCTGATAAATTAAAACACCAATTAAAGTGAAAAAAGGAAGCTAGTTATAGAGAAATTAGCTGAGACTGAACATTTGTAATTCTTACTTGAAATTTCACATCTATTCTGCGTGAGTAAATTTCTAAGCTTGCCCTAAATGGGCAAGCTCTAACTACATGTATAATGTAGTTTAGTATCACCCAACTAGAGGACTAATGCAAATCCTGCATTTTAATTGGCTACGCTACTAGAGGACTATTAGTAATAGTCCTTGAGTAGCAAAATTGGCGCATTTGAGCATGACGCTTTCTTTCGTTTTATTCCCAAATAAATATTTCTCCAACTTGCATTTGTTAACTTTATTTTTAACTTTTCTGTCCGACTAGTTGGGTGATACTAAAACAATTAGACCCTTTGCCCTCAAGGGCCACAGGTCAATAGCCCATTCGGCTTTGCCTCATGGGCTATTGACCCGCAGCCCTTGCGGGCTTTGGGTCTAATTGTTAACTAGCCCCCAAATCATTCTCACTAGCCCCAAAAGGTGGAATATCTCTTACAGTACATCAATCTGTAGTTTGAACTTAAATTTTTTCCAAGAAACTTCACTTGCCCATGGGGTAAGTGACAGACAGAATACACTAGCCCTGACTGGAAAATCCACTGGTCCCACTTATTGGGCAGGACCCTTGGATGAGATCTGTTATACTAATCACTACATACAGGTATATGTACAATGTAGCTAGCTGACTGCTGTCAACTCAGCTGGTACTCCCATCCTCCCTACCCACCCCCTCCCCCCACTAATCCTCTGCCCCCCACCCAAAAAAAAAACAACTGATAGACTGACTACGTGTATATAGACCGTATTGGCAGGAGACACAGTCAGTAATATTTACACTTTAATTGCAACTGAATTTTTGTCTTCATATACATGTAATTTATAGCTTGGAGGGAAGAATGCAGCCATAATTTTTGATGATGCAGATCTGGATAAATGCGTAGCTACAACTGTCAGGTTTGCACAAATTTAAGCTTTAGTTCGCTTTTCTCATGACGATGCAGTTAGTGCTGATAGCCTGTAATTGACTCAGGAAGGTTGAAATTCAGCAGCACTCATTCATGCACTCGAGAAGCAGTCAAACTTCTCAAGGACAAAAGCAGGAATTTAGGCTTGACATGACACTGTGTCAGTTTTCATTGAGTGGTAAATAACAGAAAAGGGAGTTAGTAGGGTCCAGCACAATTTTTATGTCCAATCATACATGTATTGACCAGTGATTAACCAAGTCAGACAATGGCAAATTAACATATGAAGATTTACCAAGACATGCTGTAGGTTTCTGTCAAACCATTAATGCCACAATCAGTGAATAATAAAAGTACTGGGTGAAGAGCTTCCAGTAAAATTTATATTTTTATAATAACTTTACCAAAATTAATAAAGTTGTTGGGGATATTTTGATAAATTATTATTGTCTCATTGTGAATGCCATGAGCTGTCAAGGTGGTTTTGTTATTAAATACAGTAATTATAAACTGAATTGCGGCATTAATTCTGTGATTGCATGGTCTGTTACTTTCCTGCAGGTCCAGTTTTGCCAATCAAGGAGAGATCTGTCTTTGTACCAGCAGAGTTTACGTTCAAAAAGGGATTTATGACCAGTTTTTAGAGAAATTTGTGGAGCAAACCAGGTACTTAAGTTTAAGGTTATTCCACAGTTTTGCATTGGTCATCCTCACTGCCCATGATTTTTGCATTATAATTTAGTGCACGCACACAAGTGCATGTGCATACACAACTAAGAGATTTACCTCAAGCTAAGTTCGATAGCGAAATAAATGCTTGTTTTGTCGCAAACTAGCACGGTGACCTACATTTTTAAATTCATTAATTTGGAGTAAAAATTATCCCCTTTAAGTTAAAATTGTTCAGAAGGGAAAAAAGATATACATGTAACTAAAAGAGTGCACAAAACCATTACTCAAGGATGCAAATTATGACCTCAAAAACAACGATTGGAGGAACATTTTGAGTCAGTGTCACTTAGAATTGTGTGATTTTTCCATAAATTATATTATTACATTGTTTCAAGTGCCCGAGACTTTCTACAAATCAAGATTTTTCAAGTATTGCTTTAATAACCTTTTCTTCCAGCAACTGCAAAATGTAGTGTGAACTGATGAAATAATGCTTGCATTATTTCATGCAAGTAATTAGGCTAAATGGCATAAGATTGGCCCGTCATATCTCTTAAGGTAATTCTCCCAAAATAAAACTGCACATAGATTTTTGTTCAAACATTGTCCAATGAATATTTATCGTATGAGAACTTTTATTGTAAAATAAAAAGGGGGGTGCCCATGCTCGTCAAGGAGCAGTGAGGCATTGAAAATGTCCCATTTTAGCATTATTTAATGCTTATTACAAGAACGCATTCCAAGTTATTGTAAACTCTTTGTGAGCCCAGACTCATGAGAACACGCCTCAAACTACAGTCAATACTTGTGTTGGACACAAATAAACGTTTTTAGTGTGATTTTGACAGACAGCTGGATCCTTGTTAAAATATTGGAACGGCTATCAAGCTGCAAAATAGAAAAGACTACAGCGCAGCTGCTATTTTCCTTAGTAATTCAATTTTCAACAATAGAAATCAGATCAGGCTTTTCTCATGCAAAGCTAATGATTAGTTGATTAAAATGACTGGAAAAAAAATTGGGGTGCCCATGCTCGTTAGTGAGCTATAGCCCTTTTTCAACTGACAGAACTCAATATCAAGGCAAATCCGTCCATGTTTTCGATGTGCGCATGCACGAATGTGTGCTAATGATGCCATAAATCATGCGCAGTAAGGATGCGCAATGCAATACTGGGGAATGACCTTAATTGAGCATGGTGACCTATCCTTTTATTGTATTTTTCGAAACAGTGCTTGGTAGGGAACATTCAGGGAAAGTTTCAAATAAATTATTGTTTGGTAACTTTTATTTTTGAGGAATTGCCTAGTTAATTTAACTGCCATTGCTGTACATTGGGAGTTTATTTTGACAGGTAATATAGTCAATAGTATTTTTAATCGGCTTTGGTTCTAAGAGTAAAATTTGTTATTTTCAAAGAAACTAAAGCATATTTTTTTAAAATTCTTTTTTTTTTTTCACATCAGGCAACTCAGGGTTGGTTCCCCCAAAGATGTAACAACTAATGTTGGGGCACTTGTCAGCAAAGAACATTTAGCTAAGGTGAGGTTCAAAATGTAACCGGAAAAACAACAACAACAACAACAATAACAACAAACAAACCAACAAACTAGCCAACAAAACAAAACGAAACAAAACAAAACAAATAAGAAGAAATGCTTCTAAAGTAAAAGTGTGAATCAATCATTCAGTTGTGAAAAATAGCCTACTTTGACTCATGTTTTAAAACAACTTGTGATGAGCAACAGGTTGTATTCCCTCCCCCTAACCCCTGGAGATCACTGCATTGTGTTCTGGGGCAAAACCCTTTACTCTCACAGCACCTCTTTCCGTCTAGGTATAAAAAAGGGTACTGGCAATACTGGCAAATGTAATGCGAGGGGGTGTCCCTGCGATGGACTAGCATCCCATCCAGGGAGGAAGTAGAAACTTATATTCCTAGTCACTTCGTGCTACAGAAACTTCGGCTGCATGGACCACTGGCCTGATCCAGACTTACCATACCTAAATGTACTGTACCTGGTTCACTCAGATTTATAAGTTACTGAACTTCATTATCTCCTGAAGGTGCTGGGATATGTGAAACTTGCTGTGAATGAAGGTGGAGAAATTGTGTATGGTGAAGGAAAGGAACCATCTCTGGAACTTCCAAGTCCTCATACAGAGGTAGAGAGATTTAGCTACAAAGCTGTGGAGACACTATTTTGTTCCTCCTCCCCTGATTCTAGTCACTTCTTTGAACGGTGGTAGTATTAATAACTTAATTGCTAACTACATGGATTATTACAATCGTTTCTTTTTTTTACGATCATCTGCAACTGCTAAGGCAAGTGTCGTTTCCCTCCAAAACATTTGACAGTTTATTTGACATGCCTCTGTCACAAAGTGAAATAGAAAGGGGGGGGAGGGAACTCTGGCCATTTATGTGAGGTAAATTGTTTGTACAGGGTGACAGATCTTTGCATACTGTTCACCTTCATCCGCCTTTTCAAGTGACTCTGCCCAAGATTATGGAATGCTGGTCTGCGAATACCAAGACTTTGTTCACTCGGTGACCAGGGAATTTCCAAAGCTCTAGAGCATAATCCCCAGCTGGATCTTGTTTGTTCCTCTTTGTCTTTGTCGTTTAGACACTGGCAGGTGTATAAATTGTGGCTCTTTTTTTTTTT